TCATTATACCTTCTGATCAATAATTTGAGGTGTCTTAGAAGTGTTCTTCCCAATGCCTTTTAGAATTGTTTTTGAGCACAGCTATTTACATTTGACCCAGCTCACAGTTCCTTCAGTTTTGCATTAACGGAACACATTTCCTCAAATGCTGAACACATCTACATTTTAAAGCGACTATGATAGTTTTCGAGACATCTTTAAAAATGTGTGCTTTCATTTTTATTCAGAAGCCTCTCTAGTCATTACCTCCTAGGTCTAAGTTTAACTCCCAAAACTTGTAATTCACATTTGGGATAGGGATAGCTTATCATCTGCTCTATATCAAAACATGCTCTCTAGAAGAAATCTGATATTATTCTATCAAAGTGTGAAGTTAAGTCATAGTGTTACCTTTTCTAGGTACAAGAGCCTATCTCTAATTGCAAAGTGACACTCTTAAGGATTGTTAAAAGAAACTATTGTTCAGAGTGGAGAGAATGAGAAGACCCTTACAATGTATGACTCACATGCCACCCAGACAGACCCCAGACTATTAATGCAGTCAGGGAGGCAAAGTTGTCAGGCATTAATATGCCTTATTTATGATCTGACAGTGTTTTCTTTGAAATTATGGTTCCAATTCTGGCTTCCTTGCTTCTTCATAGTGCCAATCTAGGTCGACAGGAGAAAAGTGAGACCATTGTTCCACATCCTACTTAAAAAGAGAACACCACTTCAAAGAGGAGAATAATAGCACCTGGCAAAAATCAAACAAACGATCAGTTTTAAAACATTGTGCCTATGTGTGCTTGTTAATCTCAACTGTTTCAAGGATTCAAGGTATTTTTGGGTACATACTCTAGATGATTAGGTCCTATAACTAGAACGATAATGCCGTCTAAATAAAAAAATTAATACATAATAATTTCCAAAATTTTTTCCTTAATATTTCCTTAATATGCAAGGTTTTAAATCGTCCTCTTCTACCCTCTGCTGAAAACAAAACCCAAACTTAAAAACATAGAGTTGATTCTTTGAACAAACAAAAGTGCACTTTGATCCAAATTCCTTTAAAGGATAATAGGGCTTTAAAATCTAAAACAGATAAATAAGCCATCCAAAAAAGACACTATTAATACATCATGATTTACTTTTTAGCTACAATGCCTTTTGAAATTTTTCTTTTGCTAATTGCACTTAGTGGTTATAGAATTAAAGCTGTTGCATTCCTTGATAATCAACCTGTTTCATGAATTGGCAGGTATTAACATGAAAAATTTGTTTAAGAAACAGAAATACATGGACACATACATGTATTTTACTCAAAATTATATTTGATATACAATTTTAATCACTTTTACTATTTGTAGTTGTAAAATTCATATTATATCCACCAATTTATATTATCTCACATTCTTCACCTGAACCGTAAGCCAGAGCTATTTGTAACATGTGATCCAAGATTTGACCAAATTCTTTATGGAATGAGAATGTATCCTTGATATTCTACCAATTTTGTCCCTTGAAAACAGTTTTAACACATGGAAAGTAGGTATGTGATTAGCTCCTTATTCATCCATCCAGTAAATGTTTATTGAGTAACAACTCACCAAACATTTTGCTAGTTCTAAGAAAACAATTGTTAGCCAGACATAATTCCTGCCCTTAAAAGGATGACATTCTAGTGGGGGAGGGCTTGTCTTTTAAAAATTCAACAAATGAATAAAATACTTACAAATTGTATAATTCTCATTAGGGATAGAGACAGCCGTAAGATGAAATATTGCCATTTGCAACAACATGGATGGATGGATGAGAATATTACACTAAGTGAAATTAAATCAGTCAGAAAAAGCTAAGAACCATACGATTTCACTCTTATGTGAGAGACAAAACTGAATTCAAAGACACAGACAGCCAACAGCACGATGGTCATGGATGTGGGGGTTTGGGGGGTTGGAGACATAGTAGAAGGTAAAGGGTTAGGTCCAGTATATGATGACGGAAGACAATTTGACTTTGGGTGGTGGGCACGCAATGAAATACATAGAGCATATGTCACAGTACTGCACACTTGAAACCTATGTGACCATATGAAGCAATGTCACCCCAATAAATTTAATAAAAAAGAAAAAAACCTCAACAAATGAATAAAATATTTAAATTGTGTAGGGAGCGAAATGTGCAAGTGCTGCTATAGGGGATGGTGCTGGGAAGGCGTAGTTTGACTACGGTGGGACAGAAAGCATCGGGGAGAATCAGCTATGTGAAACATGCTGGGGTTAGGAATGTTTTCTCCCCACTCCTCACCCCATCCCCGAAGTGAAAATTTACCCAACTGGGAATGGTAGGCAAAGAGAACGGTACTATACTTCCCTAATAGTACATTTTTATGCATAGGGTAACTATATATGTACTTTTAAAATGTGTGTGGTATAGATTATGGTAAAAGATGGAAAAATGTTCTCTAACCACTATAACAATGCCGTTGAGAAGAACTGTGAACAAAGTGAATTACTATAGTTTATACAAGGGTTCCTCCCTACAAGTGGAACTGTGAGTCTCAGAGCCAGGACTATTCAACTGCAGAGGATAAAATAGAAGCCCTAGTTTTAGTTTGTACAATAAATATAATCTTGACTTCTTTGGGGTAAGTTGGATATACGGTGATCCGCAAATGAGAAAGGAACATAGGATGTTAAAAAAAAAGAGGGACAGTTTTCCCCAAATGGTCTAATTCTCACAAGTGGTCATTTGCCATTCCAAAATCTGAGAGCCATTGTCCCCTGCCCAAATTTCACATTCTGGGGGAGACAAGTCACCAACACTGAAGTACTATCTGAATGCTTAGCCACTAGAGGGAGAGAGTGTGCCTCTGGTGATGGGGAAACCAATGGAAGTCACTCCTGTGAAGGATAGTCTTTCAAAACAGCTAAATTAAGCTCTAATCAGCAAGGGGAGAAGGACTTTATCAACAGTGGTAGTTTTGAGGAACTTTAGGATGATTCCTTATGACTTCACAATAATTCTTCCATCAAAGAATTAAATTGCTTACACTATCCAGACATCTCATCTTAATTTTCAATGTTTTAATTTCTTTTGAAAGGACCTCCATAACTTTGTAGCTACTTAAACACTTAGGCTTAGTTTTTAGGAGGGATTATAACAGTTTAGAGAAATTATGGTACCCTTTATATACTAGGAACAAATATTCCATTTTTCTAAGATAATTTAAGATTAAAATATTTGCTGTCTATTGGGATGATTCAAATGATGTGTGTAATTCTGTTTTCTTTCTCAAATACAACTTTTATTTAGCTAATTGACATGTTTAAGAAAACTGTTTTTACCAACATATAATTCACAGAAAGTGCAGTTTTTCTTAAAATTGTTGTAAAGTCATTGCTAGCCTGAGCCCAAATGATTTGCTCTCCAGTGAATATTGGATTATCTTGTTTGCAGTATGGCATCAAATACTTTTTTTTCACAACTTAATACCCAGACAAATGGTTACAATTAATAAATACGATGTATGAAACTTTTAAAAAGTAATTCATTATAAAATGTAAATACAGTATTACACAAGCTATACGTGTATCAATGTGAATGAATTTCTTCCCCATTGACGTATCAAAAGGAAAGACATTATCCAAAATTTCCCAGACATACAGAGTGGTGCTTAAGATACAGTTGATGATTTTATTTTCAATGTATCACTTTCTATCTTCAGCAGGAGAAAAAAATAAAAGAAAAAATGAAGAGAAAAGAAAAAAATAACAACTCAGCAACTATTTCTGGGATTCTTGAAAGGAGGAGTTCAGTGCCTACTTTCAGCATTGATTTTCTCCACATTCTGTGATATGGTTTCTCAGAAATGCTTTTTGGCAGTCCTAATAATTTTATGTGTTTTCAAACTTAAGCCACCCAGACTACACAGTTCAGTATTTTCAGCTCCTTTCATTTTCTTTTTCCCTTTAAGTACAGAAGTCTCTATTCCCTCTTTTTGTAAATGTGGTCAAGAAAAATGCTAAATGCTACTATTTGTAGCAAGAACAAGCACTTAACATGACGATCTATTTAAGTTCTTCCCAAATAAAAATGCTGTGCGATAACTAATTGGTAATCTTGATGGGCAACACTTTATTCCCAACAACTTTTTGAACCCACGCGCGTTCCTTCGACTTTGATGGATGTGGCAGTTGCCTGGGGGAGAAAAACGCAAACAGACACTCTAATTGTGAACTTGGGCTGGAAAGCACTTCCAAAACAGTAAGAGTTAAGCTTCATTTCAGACCTGAGTTTCCTTCTCAATCCATTCCCGAGGACCCTTGCATGCTGGTTCGTGTCCTGGTCTACATGGTGCCATTCACTGGAATTGCATCGCATAGTTTATTGCGAAGCCTGAGTGGGTGGGTCCACGCGCACACCCCGACTCGGGCCAGGACGCCCAGCCCGGAGCTCCGCGTCGGGCGCCTCGATCGCCGTCCGCTCCCGTCGCCGGGCCTCACCACAAATCCCATTTGGAAAGAAAACTTCACGCGGCCGAAATGAGCCTCCCCTCACCGTTGCAATCCTTCCTTCCCGGCCGGCAGAAAACGTGAGATTTATTATGACTTGGAGGGAGCTTGTTGGGGTGGCGGTGGCAGTCTTGGAAGCGCGTTACCTGGGCCCCCCTTGGGGGCGGGATTCGTCGTCCGGGGTCTGCCGGGCGGGGGGCGACGCAGCCGGGCGCGCGGGTGGGCGCGAGAGAGTGCGCGCGTCGCCGAGCCGCCGGGGCAGCACTTGTCCTGTAATCGATTGCCGAGCGCGCCGAGCGGCCCAGCGCTCAGACACGCGCACACGCGCCCTTGCCAGCCCGCGCGCGCACACTTACACTCTCACACACGCACAGGCACCCAGGCCCCGCACACGCGCGCGCACGCACGTCCGCCCGCCCGCCCGCCCGCCCGCCCGCGCCCCGGGCCCCGCTGCCCGCCGCCGCCTTCTCCAGCCCGCCCTCCGCCCGCGGGCGTCTGCGCGAGCCCGGCCGGCGGGGGAGATGTGCTCCGGCTGCGGCGGATCGGTTTCTCGGGGTTTGACCAGCTGTCCCGGGCTAACCCTGCTCCTCGCTGAAGATGGAGGAAGTAAAAACAGGATTACCCTTAGCTACAGATCCACTGCCTTAGTTTCCACCACCAACTGCAGTGCACAAACACACGTTAGGCACAGAAAAGAAAGAAAGAGAGAGGACACACTAACAGTAAACACAAACAAAAGGGTGATGGGATTATTTTACTGCATGCACTGCTGAGGTAAATCTCCGTTTGGCTTTTGCGTGGTGAAGAACAGCTCTTGTTTTGTCTTCTTATTCATAGATTATATATAAATATATGTGTCTGATTTGCAAAGGGGGGAGTGTTTTCAAAGTTAAGAGTAATTATATAGCATCTCGTTTTGCACTGTGATGTGATCAAATGACTTGTTGCTGTTAACCAGTAATAACAATAATAATGTAGATATTTTTCTCCGGGAGGGATGGCTTGTGGTTATGATTAGGGTAATAATTTCTGTAAAGGACGCTCAGGGAACCGGGAGGAGGATGATGTCCTCTGCCTTAATTTATCGTCCCCCCTTGTAATCTGTTTCTGGGATGTTAATCGATTAATCAGTTCTCATCTCTATAGCTGTCATGGATTGGGACTTGTTTTGCTTTGTTTTAACTTGAATTCCAAGAAATACTGGGTAGCTTGGCATAAATTGCAGCTGTCCGGATAGAAGGTAATAACCAGATCGTGTTGGAATTAAAAAAGAAAAACACAGGTATGACACATGTAAAAAGGCAGCAGTTAAATCACTTTGACAGGTTCTAGTATGGGCGAAAGAGATGGAATTAAGATTTATTTATTTATTTATTTTGCCAAGGGCGAAAAACAGTCTTGTGAAGTTGGCCTAGGCTCCTTGCTGGGTTCTGCCTGACTGTCTCTCCCCTCTAACCCCCCCGCCCCCCCACCTTTTCTTTCAGTTTTCTTGTCTTAGCTTTTGGTCGATTCTTAAAGAACCGGTGGATCAAGTTTTTTCTCTTCTTGTTAATCGCATTGCTGTAGCACTGACTGACCTCTCTCTCTCTCTTTTTTTCCTCTTTCCTGAAAGTACGTGGTGCCATTCCTGAGTGACTTTTCCTACTAGACCATCCCAAAGGGACGAGGGGGAGGGGTGGAAGGAGGAGGAGGAGGAGGTGGAGGAGGAGGAGAAGGGGGGTGTTCCTTCTCTCTCATTTCTTGGTTTTGTTTATCAGCGGATCTGTTTGCTGGATTTGGGCTCGGAATGACCCACCTGTAAAGTGCTTTTCCTTCCTCCTCGCCTTGAACTCTGCAGGGGGCTTGGCTTGGAGGGGGCAAGGGAGGGAAAGAGAGAAGGGGGGAACACAAAAAACTTCTTTCTTTCTCTCTCCGTTTATCTTCAGCCCGACATTGTCACCTCTTCTTTGAGGGGTTAGAAGAAGCTGAGATCTCCCGACAGAGCTGGAAATGGTGATGAATCTTTTTTAATCAAAGGACAATTTCTTTTGTATGTACATTTCGTTTCTCTTTCTCCTTTTCTTTTTCTTTCTTTCCTTCTCTGAGGGTTAATAACCATTTCATTGATGGGGCAGACTTCTTTCGCTTCTCCCTGACGTTCCTTTCTTTTTAATATGTGTGTGTTAAATGTGTACATTTTTAAAGAGATAAACTCATTTGTAAAATATCCGAAGAAACTGCGCCCCTTTTAAACTTTACGGATGCCTTTCTTTAAAGCCTTATGTAATCATAATTTGAAAGAATTTGATAACAGTACAGCAGGTTGAAATTTAAGTGCTATGTAGTGGCTGAGTTGGGAATTTGATCTGATTATTCCATAAAGAAAGAAAGTTTTTTTGGGGGGTAGGGAGGGTGGTGGTGAAGAAGGGGAGGGGAGGGAGAAGGGAAGTGGTTTTGGAGACAAGAAGTGAAGCTGCCTGTTTTCCAGTAAGTAATGGAGAAATTCCAGGAGCCAGGGCTAAATATACTTGGCGATCAATACAGAAATGGCTCATTGTGAATAATTTAGCTGCTGGTGCAGTGAGAGTTTTGAAACTAAAGGCAAAAAGGACCAGGGCCAAAGGAAAAAAAATAAGTAAAAATCTCCTCAGGACATGTCAATTCTTTAAACTTTTTCCTTCAAAGAATACAGTTAGCTTATCGATCTTTTCCTTATGTAAAATCAAAGCTAGGGGGTGTCATCTCATACAATTTACTTTTGTTTCTGAGAATTAAGTTCTTGTTTTGCGTCATTCGTACATGAGAATAATTCCCCAAACTTTGAAAAAGTGATTCCCCTCCCAAGAGCAAAAAGTTTATGAAATTTTCAAAATCTGAATGTATTAAGTAAGCTTGGCATTTGTATCCAACCATGTTCTGGCAGGAAATTAAGGTTACATCGAACAGGTGCTTACACAGAACTTGGGGTAGGCTAAAATGTCAATACAAGTTCGGGAGCTGGGTAACTACTGCAGGAATCTTAGAGACTCGCTTGGGCTCTAAGTTTTTTGTTTTTGTTTTTGTTTTGTTTTCTTATGTTTGTTTGTTCGCCCCCCTCCCTCTTAGAACATGATGAACCAACTTGCAACAATTGTGAATAGAGCTATCTGTATACTAGGGAAGTCCTCAAACTGCAGTGTGATTGTGGGAAGGAGTGAGGGGTAAAATACTTAAACCCCATTTAAAGCTGGCACGTGTGAGATGTGACCCCCTATTTTTTTCTTTGAATCGAGTATATTCTGGTGAACAGAGTCATTCCTTGCTCACTACAGCCCACCTCACAGCACACCTATCTTCCCTATCCTATCTCCAGCAGGAATCAGATCATTTGCAGAAAGAGTTCAGTGACTTGCAAATGAGCACATACAGTACGTTGTAGTATGTTTCTTGGGCACAGGTTGCAGCAGCAGCAACATGGGCTAACTGCTTGGAGCTTCAAATAAGTTAAGCATTTAATGGCAGAACTGAAAGGAATCATTGTGTTAAGGGTATAATCTTTTGTGTTGCAGCACTGCACTTTGACTATGGAAACAGAGGCTATTGATGGCTATATAACGTGTAAGTATTCTTTTTCATGAATTTTTTATTGGTAATAAAATTATGCTTTTGTATGACCTGTATTTTAACTTGTCAATTGTAAGTTTTTATCACGGTGGACTCTTATTTTCTGTTTTCACAAGTCCACCTTTAAATGAGTTTGATAAAATAATAGCATACAGTGAAATAGAAGAAAATATAGAAATATAATTATTAAGGGTAACATGTAAATCAGTATTAGTAGATCCACACTTTATGACTGATTACTTTACCTAAGTTTAGAATAGGTCCGGTTAAATATATGTCTACTGATCTGGAGTGTACAAAATATTTATTACTCAGTAGCCTAATTTTTCAGACACATACTGTGAAAGAGAGTGAGCTTCCTTAAGTTGACATGTTTTTTGCCAGCTCTCCTTTCAAACATCTAACTCCCTGATAGCTGGCATTTTGGAAACAGCTCATTATGAATACTGTATGTTCAATGATTAAAATAGATTTTAAAATAAACTTTCTTTTTTCAAGTAAAGGATACTTTGGATACTCGTAATTCCTCTTATTTTTCAGTTAAGATGATTGTGATAATGAAATTTTGTATTTTTTTTATTGTGTGCTGGTTGTGGCTTTTTGTCATTTCATTCATTTACTATATACTTCTAAATGATATTGCCTTATAGTTACTTTTAAGGAAAAATGTATTACATTAAAATTCCAAGGCTGTTCGTGCCACTGCGTGTATGAAACAAAGTTGGTAATTAGATGTTATAAGACCATGAACAGAGACCAAAACATTTTATTTTGTGAACACAGGTGACAATGAGCTTTCACCTGAAAGGGAGCACTCCAATATGGCAATTGACCTCACCTCAAGCACACCCAATGGACAGCATGCCTCACCAAGTCACATGACAAGCAGTAAGTCTTCTTTTTATGATTTTTTTTTCTATTTCTCTAGCGACAGACTTGAATTTGTTAGGTCTGTGGGGTCCTCTCACATTGTGTTGTAGCTGCTGCTATAGATTTTGCTAAAGAAAGAACAACAGAGATTTATTCCTGTTCCTTCTAGTATCATAAAACATGAGTCTGCTTACTAGTCTGAACTATCCCAAGGTGGCATTTGGGAGCTGGTGCTTACCTGTATCAGGTAAGAAATGTTAGGCTTTTCTGGTTATTGTTTTGACTTGCCAGGTTTATGACTAGATTTGTTGTTGTTGTTGGATGAAAAAAAAAGAGATGGAAACATGTCACTTCCAAAGGACTCTTCACAGTTAAAAAATGAAATAATTTTATATTGCGTTGGTAAAGAGCTAATCCATCAGTGGCAGAATTACAGTATTACTTGCCTTTTTTTTTTTTTAAACCCGTGAAAGTTTTTTTCTCCAAAGTATTGAAAGTTAAGTGTAATTGAAAATTTGTAGAACTCATTTACATCCACTTCTCTAACAAAGTGAATGCGTTTTGTTTAGGACTGCCCCGAAAAGAACTGAGAAACTTTGGAAGGATGTTTTGGAATAGGAAGTTATAGGAATAGACAGTTTTGGTTACTATTTTTTATGAAGAGTCATTGATTAGTATAGTAAACTTTTTTGTGTAACAAAAGAGCAACTTGTGTTCTGTCAGTGACAGAAAACAACATACTTTAAGACCATTGTTTGTTTTCTTTTCTAATTTTTATCAGTTTAGTTATCAAGTACAAATGCTCTATTATTCCTATTCAAACAAAATTTGAAATCGTGTGTGTCCCTTATAGTTTTGGTATATGTTATATACTTCTATAGAGAAGACATCTGACTTATAGTTAACTTGGAAGTTTTCTATTTGAGTGATGATATGTGAAGGAAAGGTATTTTTTTTCCTTTTTTTAAAGTGAAGATTTAATAACTAAAAAAACTGAATCATCTATTAAATTACAAGCATATCGTTAATTCTCATTTTCTGGAGAGAACAAATTTTCCTTTCCAATTCCCTCTTACAGTTTTCAAAACTTAAGGTTATTATTAAGCTATTGGCTTTGTAAGTAGTAAAGACTACTGGATTGTAAGCAAAAGTATATGCAGTGCTATTGAATACATTTTGCAATTTATTAACTTTAAGTGATTCTAACTATTGACTTGAAATTTTGATTGAACTATGTGAATTTACTTATTTAATAATTTTATTAATGGGAAACACTTTCTAGGAGATTGCATTCTAGAAGCAGTTGTTGAAATTCTTTTATCATGTAGAAAGAAAAAGTAATAGTGAGTGATTGTATATTAAATTCTAGTGCTAACCACTTATAATGGATTTTGTAGCATTAACTTATTTTTTGCTAGTTGGCTATGATTTGATAACAGTTATATTATTACTGTAATATAGGCAGTATAATTTTTACTTTTTAACATTTTAACAATGTTACTAGTTCTTTGGTAGAGTGTATTTTTATTTCTCAGATAAATTTTGTATAATTTCCTAAAGAGGAAAAGTAGATGAATATGCTATTTCTGTTAGCCAACTATTTAACTATTGGCTTTAGAAACATTGAATATACGGGATAGATATTAATGTTAATCGTAGACTTTTGACTGTTACCCCCTAGCCACCACTAGAATATCATCAGGAAAATGCTTTTTAATTGGTTAACTGCATCCTTTATTTGTGAATTTGTTTCTGGTTTAGCAAGTCCCGGCTTCAAAAGGTAGTTCACCCATTGACTTTAAATACATAGTGCAGAGAGTAGGCATGATCAGTTTGAACAAATTAGAGCTGTGCTTTTGACATTTGGGCTTTTCACACCCAATAACATTAGCCTTATGTTTGGTAAAGAGGGTTGTTTTTTTTTTTTAACTTACTAGCCTGTGGCAGTTTCATGTTAGTATGGTTTTTGGCTGAGCTGCACATGTTTTCGCGTTCTTTTCCAAAGAGTTGCAGGTTAAATATTTTGGCTCTCACTTCAGAGCTGTCTTGCATCCTTTATGTAGCCTCTATTTACAGTATCTAGGTTACCCACTTAGGTGTTAGATGCAGAAGATACCCATTTTTCCTTTCTGTTAGATCTAGGAGAATATCAGCATTTGATGTTGCCAAAGCAAAAAAGTGGTAGCGGGAGACTCTTATCTATTAACTTGAACAGGAGACCTAGAACTTGTCACTCATATTTTTCTGTAACAGACCTGTCAAATCGCTTGTGTCTGAGATCACTGGTTTTTGTAAATCCCTTTGCATGCATTGTTGACTTTATTAAATGCAAAGAACTTAATTATTTTCTGCATTTTTTATATCATCATCTATACTTCCTGAAAGGCTGTTGCTTCCAAAAACAGAATTGCAATTTCGATTCAAAGTATTAAAGCCAAAAGTGAATGTGAAAATCTTTCTGATAGATGGCTTCCAGTAGCAGCAAGGAAAGGAAGAGGAGTATATGTGTAAGGGGGGAAAAGTTATTTTAAAACAGTTTAGAAAAAAAGTAAAAGAATTAAAACCTTTGATTTGTATGAAATAACTAACATTCTGACACTAAAGCATTGATAAGATGGGATAGCCCACCTATTGTGGCTTTAGGAAAGTGGTCAGTTTCACTCTGCAATCCAGGTCGTTTGTTTAGGTTATTTGATGACTATTCTCAGATGAAGAGTATCTGTACAACTTGCTGTCAGCTATTGTATGATAAATAATGACAGCAGATCTCACTGTTGGACAGGGCTAGAAGAGAACATCGGCAACATGGGAGAGAACAAAAAATGTTATAATGCCTGACAGGGTTTGGTTTCAAAATTCAGCATGTAAGATTACCTTAAAAAGAAATAAGAGGTATTAATGATCTTAACATTTTATAATGACTACTCCCTATGTTTTAGAATGAATTTTCTTAGAGAACTTTAGACTTTTTCTTCTGGAATAAGAATCTCTTTGATAAGAAGATGAGCATTGTTGCCTGAGATCATTAGTGTACATATTCAGTCTGCTGACAGTGTTCGGTGTCAGGGATGACAGTACATGCCTTGATGGCTACTGGAAATACACAGTGTTAAGTTATTTTAAAAATAGATCCTGGAAGTTAAGAATCTGAGACAGACAACTCAGACAGAACAATATAAAAATAATCCATATTGTATTTCGGCCCATCAGATGAGACCTGTTTTGTGATTCCTTCTGTTTCTGGGTTAGCTCATTTCCAATTCTTGCAAAGTCGCTTCAGTATCGGGTTCAAACTGGTCTATATCTGCTGCTGATTATTGTGAAAAGAATTTTAAGTTTCAAAAAATTTTAATTAATTTTAGTTTTCTTATCATCTACTTTTATGATGCCAATGAGTGAGTTTTGTCTGGAAATAGTTAATTGGTAGGAAAACATACTCTGACACAGACCTTTTTTGTTTCTATTTCTTTAAAATCTTTACATGGCTCAAGTTTGCAGTCAATACAATTTATCAGTCACTTTGGTGGCCAGATGGCATGTATGGAATTGGAAGAAGTAGTAAATCTAGTTTTACAAGACTCTGACCAATAATCAGGTCAGAGAATCTAGTTTATCCTTTTCAGAGTGCCTCATATTAATTTTTTTTAGCTTAGTTTCCATTTTTAGGACCTAGTGAAGCAGAAGTATATTATGATTTCCATTTTTCGTATGTGGAAATGGACACTTAAAGAAATCAGTTGGCCTTTTAGGCCCCTTAGCAGAAGGAAGAAGTTGTCAGGATTGAGACATAAAACTGTGATATGACTTTGTAAGTTAGTTGGCTTACTTAACTGATATTTCTCTGTAATGTCATTATGTCAGGATGCTCACCATGTCCAATACTGACCCTTGTTTTAGTGACAAAAGCAGTATTACAGAAGTAGAGGAGGGTTATTAGGAGGGTGGAGTAATATCAGATAATCTTCTTCTAGTGCACTTAAAAAAAATAACACATTATGGGACTCACCAGCTTTCTGAGTTGTCTTGTATAGCTTAGTTTGGCAGTCACCCTTGGTTGGATTTCCAGAGGATACACCCTAATATAACGTCAGGTGGGCTTGATGTGAAAACTCACTGTTTTTGAATTGTAGTATTGAGGTTTGTGTAGATACCCAACATACCTTAGTTTTTACTTGTTAGGAAGGTTTTTTTTGTGTTTTTTTTTTTTAAGTTTGATTTGATTTCTTACACCTTATCAGATTTAAGTGTCATGGCTACATACCAAAATTTAAAAAAAAAAGGGAAGAAGAGAGAATCAAAAGAAGTATGTGCGTGCAGGGAATTAACAGCAAAAATGCTGTATTTTTGTCTTGCACCTTATTTGTCCCTTCCCCAATTTTTGAGCTGCTTCAGAGTAAGAATAAAGGTCTGCTTTCAAGAAACAAAACAAATTTATTATAGAAGTGTTATCCTTATTGCCTCTTATCTTTTCTCAAACCTGTCTTCCTCACTGGAAGTGCATTTTAAAAAATGTAACCAGATTAATTTGGTTCTATAGGGAGTCTTCCTTCAAGCCCTGGTGGATTGAGATCTCTGGGTTTCATGCTCTTCTTCCCTAACTTTGAATATTGATATATTTGGATCTTACGATATTTTGAAAGATCAATAGCAGAGTCACAGTTCTGAAATGAATAGAATATGTTGTTTTTCTTTGGTTTTATGTGTTTATATCAAATACACTTATTGATCCGGTAGTCTTTTCCTTTTGTGGGTTAATCAATAATGAAAATATTTCTGCTTTGAAGGAGGTAAGGGGTATTTAGGAACTATTTCCCTTATTATAAATGTTTAATCAGTATTGGAATGAGAGATGGGAAGAGGGGCACAATTTCTGAGTGTACATAGGATGCATCCATGTTATTTCACTTAGTTTCCACATCAGCTCTGTGATGTTAATAGTTACTCTGTTCTATAATACAGAAGACTGATTGTCAGTGGGCTTAAAATATGGGCTTTGGAGTTATATGGGCATATGTTAG